AGCAAAGAGGTGGCACTATCTAAAATTCCAAGAATTTTTCAAAATTTCCAAGAATTGGAATTCCGAGAATATCAAACTTCAAATCGCGAAAATCGGGAATCTCGGAAACTGACACAGTATCAGGAGAACATGTTAAACAAGGAGGTGGCAGTGATCTAAATTTCCAAGAATTTATGATATCAAAATTTGTCAGAATTGCCCTTTTCTTTTTTAGCCAATATGTCTATTTAGCAATATTGGTGTAATATTGCATCAAGATTAGATTAATATTGTTATTACATTGTTAAATATGGGCCAATGCATTTCCAATATAAATCTAACATTATACAATTAGCATTCAATATTTACATTTATTTCATGGCCAATATTGGCTTTACATTGGACAATATCGGCCAATGCATTTCTAATATAATCAACATTGGACCAACATTTAGCCAATGTACTATGTTACTAGAATATCATTCATCTTGTTGAATAATATACCTATTATATATTATATAAATAATAATGTTGTCTGTGTGTAATGATAAATTTTTATATATAGTCAAAAGGGGGACTAAAGGGTTTAAGAAGAGTAGAAACACGCTGACACACTTTAAAAGATCGTTGCCAGAATATATTTCCTGTGCTTTTTCTCCTAACGGCCACAGGCCATTAGCTACATTATTGTTCGACTCACATACTCTCTCTCTCTCGCATTCATAAATATGAAAACACACGCATGCGGCAAATCGCAAAATGAGGAAGATATTTTTTATCTGTACACCATAGACCGCAAGATTGTTTCTTTTAGATATATTCGCCCGCGCATATCTTTGTTCATTGATTCGTTGCCTTAAGATAAGTATTGTCGTATTTGCTTGTTAAGTCTTGCCGTGGTATGATAAACCGTTCTTTCGCAACTTTTCGGAGTTCTTTGTGAAGATTCCGCAAATGTTACAATTTGCGACACGACAAGGATATACCTGTTGTGTTAATAGAGGAAAGCCTTCTAATATGAGATAGCAGGTTTTCAACACCCAACTTTAGTCACAAATCTTTTTTCGCAACGATTACACAATCTAGCAATGAATTTTCCACTAAACATATTTTGCTCCAAGAACAATAAATTCACGGTGGAGTCAACTGATGATGCCTATTAATTTAATGAAATCCCAGCTACCCCATATTAGGATCCTATCTGATAATAGGGGACTTTTCTCTGTGTATATTATTAACAAGAATAATCGTACATATTTCTAAAAATAGAAATATCTAAACCGCACAGTCAAAAAACGTTTGAGAAACGCTCTAAAAGTTAATTTTTAAATTTATAATATCTTTGCGGTATCCTTTAGACATTTGAATTTAATCTACATTATATGCGATCAACATTCTATAAAAATAAATGTATTATTAGAATTTTTTAATATATTTAACAAATGTATTAAAAAGAATTGATAAAAAAATTTGTTTTGGAAAATTGCCCGAGCTTCTCTGAAATTTCGAAGACAGAGATTGACTTTACAAACATCGAAGTTTTATTCTCCTAATTAAAATATAAGCAATCTCAGAATTATGTCATTTTTATATTTATTTATCGTTGAATATTTAAGATACTCGTCAAGTATCGATGATTAGATATACTGGATATATAAAGGGATAGAAAAGACTTAAAAATTCGAGAATTTTAAGTCTATAATTTCTAATTTATGCAAATACCTCCGCAGCTTTTCGTACGGTCGGAAAAGAGTGAAGTCGACGCGTAAAACGCATACACGTTCAAAAGCGCGTGGCAAAATATTAATAAGAAGGAGAAAGTTTCTTACATCAGGAAGCTTAGAGCTACTTGATTATATTGCGGATTGATTGCTACGATAGTTGCGCTGATAGATTCACGCAAACAGCGATTCCCAAGTTGTGCAAAGAAACGAGAATTCGTGTTATCGTCAACTTTGCAAAATATAGAAGCAACGGAAATGCAATGAATTCTTACAACGATTAAGCCGTATTTATTCGTGCACGGACGTATTATTCGAGTCGCGAAGCGTACGTCCTGTCTTGCTTAACTATCTTTACTTGGCTATCCCTTTGTAGATCACAGTTTCAATCGTAACACACAAGGTACTTCAATAGCTACAAAACTCGATTGGAGAGCGATTTTTCCATTGTTTCTGCAAAGTCCTATTGAGAGAATTAAAAGTCGGGAAATCTTGAAACGAAATATTGGTGTCAATAATCTTTTTATCGGATATTTTACAAAAAGATACAAACAACTTCCAAAGAAAATTTTGGAGATTTGAAATTGAACACCTTATGATACACTTCCCTTTAACCGCCCCTCGAACCACTTACCACAAATTTTGAACTTTGGACTTACTATACGACAAAATGCTACATCTGTGAATTGTTTAAGGCACGCTTACCGAACAATTGATACGCCGCCACGTAGGGATAAAGAAGGAGATTGTTAAAACTAATGCTTCTAGATATTGTTCAATTAATATTTAAAGAAGCAAAACACACATTATACTAAAAGTATTTTTAGTTGCAAATCAATGTTCAATATGTGTAAATGGAATCTAGGAATTGATCTATTTATTTTACGATCTAACTGATGCCGCGAACGGTAGCAATATCGCTAAAACATATGTTAACTTGAAACAGAATTTCTCAGAATTTCTTTTCTGTTTACAATTAAGAAGTTAAAGAAAGTACGTCCAACTCCGACAGATTGTTTTAAGCGACAGTTTAACCCTTACAGAAATATAACAACTGGGGACGAAAACAGCACTGAACAATTACCAGAGTTCAGTAATTGAATTATTAAAAATTACTGATGTACAGTAACTATATTTCGCTTACATTTCTATGAGGGAATATCTCTGCTTTTACAGGATCAAATATTGTCTGCTGCTTCTTGCGTTAAAATTAAAGGCATTACGTAAAACAAGTAAAACAATTTTTAGTTTATTCATCTTTTCTGAACATTAACCTGCATCTAAATATATACTTTTTAATTTAATTGTGCTTCATTCACTACAAAATATTATACCTAGTGAACCGCCAACTAACAGTTACATAACGTCCATATTATAATTTTTTACTCAATAATGTAACTGTTATGTACAACATACGTTCTATTACATTTATATTGTTGAGTGGGGAATGATAATATTGACATTATGTAATTGTTAGTTGGCGTTTACTGGATAATCAGGTGGTAATATGTTATAATATTAGTTTGTGGTCACGCTTTTCTTGCTTTTTTCCCTACGTGTACCGATCAGTACGTCTGATATAATGCGGGATTAGTTTTGATTGATATTGAGCATGTATATTATATACATATAAATGTATGTATGTATGTATATATATATAATATTATCGCTTTCGATTTGAGCTATTCTTAACAACTAACGTAAACCCGATGCCGGCAACGTCGTCCCGGCACTAATCCTCCCGCATTGACGCATTGCCCTTTGCGCAAAGGACATTGCACAACGCGAGCGCTACGAGATTAACCCTTTGGCTGCGAAGGGCGCGATACGCCAACGTAAAATTGTGATATCTATGACAGCGGAGGGAGAAGACGGATCGGCAGATTATCGCAGAGGATCCCAGGATCTAAAAATCAAGGGTGACTTAAAAATTTAGAGCTTAACGCTAGGCCCGTATTCTCGTCATACATTTAGGACGATTAGATGCGCGCGATCGTACAGAATCTCATTTTATCTGGTTTATGTCAGATGAAACGGAATGAAATGGCCGCTCATGGTTGCCAAACGCGTACAATGACAATACGGCCCTTCGAAGAAGCAGAAATTCAATGGTCGTCAAATCTCTAGAGATTCGACAATTGATAGATCTGCTCTTTCTAAGTTATAACGAAATATCGACACTCCTCATATGTTTTTTCAAAGGAATGCGGGGTCGCTAAAACATACTTGCAACTGATCTTCTAGGATATACGACAGCTCGTTTCTCAAATAATGTTCAAGCTTCGATACCGTAAAATACCTCGTATCAAACATAGCGACACACATTTCAACGTTGTTTTTCCACCACTATTCCGTCATAAACACTGCTATACAAAAAGTCTTCAAAATCACATTATTAATCCTCATTCAGCGACGCCCGGAATCTCTCAGATCCAGCTTCGTACAATATTAATATTTTTGGCAGCATTGGTTGTAAAAACGAAGACATATATAGTTAATATTATATAGTTATTCGTACGTTGAACGTTTTTCACTTCGTACTTCATTTTTGTACTCAATACATAAACCATATGTTAATGATTATTATTTATATTTTTTAACTATTTTTTTAGTATTATTTACTTTTTCCCCATGCCTGTTTATGCAATGTAATTGTGTAATATAATTTGAGAAGAGACAAAGCTCGGGCATATAAAGTTGAAAAATGTAGCAGATAAAAATTTAGTTTGAGAAACGAGATAGAGAAAGAAAATTTTGTCACACGAGTCCGAGTGTACTCGGGCGTCACTTCCTACTGCCCTATGGTTCGAGAGAGTAAAATCCTCTTGAAATTCAGCCCCTTGAAACTAATGGACTGCAACTCGGACGTCCTAGTCCGTTGTTTGCACAAAACGTCGTTTCCTTTCTATTTGCTTTTCTTTCCTCCTCGTTATTGTCATGGCCTCGCGAAGCTGGCGTGCGACTAAACACCACTACAATTGTAGTTACCTCTCGGACCCCAGATACCAGACATCTCCCAATATTGATTATACGCTCGTAATGCTTAACGAACGTGTATTAAATGTACTGGCCACACGTAGAACACGAACAGAGAATATTATTGGGAGAAATTAATATTAAATTATACACGAGAGAGACGTTTCTGCGTGTAGATACAATTCAAATTTAGCTCGGTATTTTCGGTAAAGATATTCTCTCCGAAGAGACACGATCTTATTTGAGGCTCCGATAGAGTTAAAAGTAGAGCGGATAGGCATAATTGATGCACTACTTTTGAACGTCGTACTTGTCTGCAAATTCGGTGTCGATCTTTCCTCTCCTTAATCTTGAGAGAGGGCTTAAATGTAACAGTTCCTCCTTTCCAAAATCGACGGTTACTGCAGTCCTGCTTCAGGGGACTGAATTCGATCGGGGGATCTCCCGCATTGCTTATCGCGTAGATAATATCTGTCTTTCACACTTTTCCCTCGCGACTCTAAGGATACCGGGGATCCGTCAAATGCCGCGTCGACGCAGGATACTGCAGATTGTGGTAGGATCTGCTGCGTCTGTAATCGCACGGTAACGGAGTCGAGTGGCGATACGCGACATAAGGCTCTAGGCAAGGTACATTGGCCGTTCGCGTACCGTTGTCCTCGCTCGATGGCCGCGGTTGCGCCACGGCGCCGGGATAGTCCGGCGCCGGGTGCTGGGGCTCGCCGAGCGCGGACTGGAACTGCGACAGGCCGAACAGGACGCCGATGGATCTCCTCCACATGTCGTGGCGGGTCTGATTCGGCTGCTGGTCCTGCTGCTCCTGAGGCGGCTGCTTGCACTGGCGCCTTCGGCTCTGCGAGGAGCCGCTCTCGGTCGAGTTGCTGTCCTCGCTGGTACCCAAGCCTGGGTCCCTCTCCTCAAACGCCGCCATGCTCGTCGCGAGATTGTCCTGAAGCGGCTTGATGTCGCCCGGACCGTAATAGACTAGATGAGGCAGCGAGATAACATAAGGCGACTGTTGCTTCTGTTGTTGTTGCTGCTGCTGCTGCTGTTGCTGCTGCTGCTGCTGTAACTGCAGTTGCAGCTTGCTCGCCTGCAGCTCCTTCTCCTGCGTGCTGTTCTTCGTGTTCTCCGCCTCGCCGGGCTCGCTATCGCCGCCGCTGCAGGCGCCAGGCCCGAAGAGGGACAGCAACACCGGCAGCAGGAACATACCGTGCATGGCGCCGATGAAGATTACCAGGAAGACCATTTTGAAAAATACCAGGAAGATGTAGGTGCCGGCCAACAAGAGGGCCATGAGACCGAGTATCGTCGAGGCGGCACCCTGAACGATCGGCAGACCCAGGCTGTACAAGCTCTCTTTCACCCGATCCTCCGGCCGCGGCCGCTTCGATCTCATGTAGGCGTAGCAGATGTGCGCGGTGAAATCAACGCTGAAGCCGATGCACATGATCAGATTGATCATGGAGATGCTGTCGAGATTGACGTCCCACAGCGCCATGTAACCGGCCACTCCCAGCTCGATCGACACGATGCAGAAGGCGACCCACAGGCAGCAGAAGATATTCGGGATGAAGATGAAGCTGATGAGCATCATCACAAGCGCGCCGAATATCATGCACTGAATGCTGGTCGGCCTCACCAGCTCGAACTGGTCGAAGAACACGAAGTACGGGTGGAAGACGCTCGCATTCAGCGGCGACGCCGCGCATATCCCGCGCAGCTCCTTCACCATGTCCTTCTCCTGATTGGTGCCGCTCACGTTCACCGCTTGTATCAGGAAACGACTCGCCACGATTTTCTCGCCCGTGCTGTCGAACTTGACGTCCAGGGAGAAGGCGCTGTTCGGGTAGAGCCAGAGCTCCTTCAGGCTCTTGACGAAGCTATGCTCGTCCGTGATGCTCACGTTCAACTCGTCGTTGCGCGTCACGTAGCTGACAAAGCTGCGGAGCCAGCTCTCGGTGTAGATCGGCGCGCTGATGTACTTACTCGCTTCGAGGCTCCTCGTCAGGTTCTCCATCTGCTGCTGGATCACCGGATCGCTGTAGTTGTATTCGCCTGATACCACCACCTAGAAAAACAACGGGAGTACAATTAAAATGTGTTTTTAACAGGGATATTTTTTTTAATCAAGCTGAAAATCGTAACGAACGTATCAATTACTTTGCACGCTCCAGAATTCTTATAATCATCTGTCTTATTTGTTTTTCTTTACTCCTTTCCCTTTCCGCCATTCAGTCGCAAACGTAACAGTAAACGTCGCGGAGAATGTACACGTTGGTCAGGCACCTTTTCGGGAATTCCTGCGGTATCGCCGTGAAAGTAATTTCGAGAAAGCGTCGTGGTCCGGCTTCCTCTCGCGCCGCGCAAAGCCACAACGTCACGTTTTGTCACGATTATGCAATTTGTCCGATCTCGACACGTCGACGCACGTACATTTCGACATGAACGTTTCGCGAGCGGATCCAATTACGCCGTGTGTCGTTATTAAGAGTTCACCGTGACAGTAGTTTCGCGGCGAATGACGTTTCCGCACAGTCATCGGAACTTGACGGCTCGTGACGTCGGGACGTTATTAATATCGCGAGGAAACGCGATAGCGCGAGACCATCTTCGAGAAACGTACTTTCACTACAATGTATCGGACTGACGCGACGAGAGGGGGAGGAAAGGTCTCAGAGAAATTCTTAGTCTACGACTATACTCGTATCTCTCGCGCCGTGTGCACAATTTTATTTCATCGGAGAGAGAGATCTCAACGCCGCGCAAAGAAGCGCGCTTAAGACGCATTGAAATCGCCTACGAGCGCCGCATTATGAAATGTTCAATTATCTAATTGAAACAGTCTCAGAGGCTGCAAGAAATTTTTTCACGGCAAACTGATGCACCTGTTACAATTCATTTTCTACAAATGTCACCAAGCTTCTTAAAAATATATACGAGTTCAGGACGAACGATGAGATAGAGAAGATTCGTGTCAGAACTCAGGATGGAATTCTATTTATACCCACACAGCAGACTATATCTGGGACTTAAATCATATATCATTTCATCGGTCGTATTTGAGATATCTCGTGGATGACATATCTTGAATATTTTAGGGATATCACATTTCTCATATCTCTTTTAACAAATTATTGTTTATATTTTTATTATTTGTTTTATTTCTAAATGAATATTTAACTTTTCCTCGAAACAAGTTTTTGAAACTTATTTAGACAGAAAAGAAATAGTATAACGATAACAAATTTAACAAATAATATGAGTTTACCATAATTATAGTATAAAAAGTAGACTGATTTATGGAGGCCGTGTTCTTTAATAATTTATGCCGAAACTGCTAAAGAAAAAATTTATTTTATTTACCACATTGCCTATTCTGTAATATGTAAAATTCGATTTCGCTAAAATATAAATATCTAATATTTGATATAAAATCAGATATCATATCTCAGATGAAATAATCATGACTTTTTAGAATCTGGAAAGTATTCTCTGACATCCAAGCGATGTTTCTTGCATCAGATATTGTAATATTTAAACATCTCCCAGATACCCCTGTGACAGTTCTTATTGTGTGGGTAATATAAAGAGAAATTGGGAGAATCAGAACATAAACACGTATATAATATACATGATATAGCATGTACAAGATAAAATTGTTCGAGGGGGAATTTAAAAAAGAATCGACCAAACTGGCCAAAATGATGATCTTTATTTTAGTCACAACGTTTCGACGTGGTCGATTTTTTTAAATTCCCCCTCGAACAATTTTATCTTGTGCATGCCAGCTTGGTCAGTTTTTTAAAATTGCCCCTCGATCAATTACCACTGGCGACAAAAAGCTACTCAAATTTGTTTATAAAATTGTTCCTCGTAAAATTGTTGAAAATGAATTTAAACTAGATATTGACATTATTTAATTAATTTGCAAAAATTAAGCAAAGGCAATGAATGAGTCAACGAATACTTTGCATTCGATAAAATAATGACAAAGATACACCTATATTCAATATCATTTTGAACGTAAATAATAAATCCCGGAACTATTTAATTATCGCAGCAGTAAAATATCTTCCGGTTTCCGTTATCATTTTGTGTCAGGGAAAAACGTCGAATCGTCGGGAAGAAAACGGAAAGAGATTCTCCCGGATGTGTCTGAACAATCGGCGCGAAATTATTTGGCGTCACGTGATTCGGTAGACAAAGTGGGGATTTACGCGAGGATCTCTCCGATTTAGTTGGGTCTTTCTCGTCGATCGGTTTCGAAGAAGCGTGATGTAACGGACATTGCTTTTCTTGAGGTTCACGCTAGCCAGCCGGAGAAAGTTGTTTGCACGATATCGCGTCGTGTCGAGGGGAGCACGTGACATAATTGCGCGTACCGGATTATGCGTGGCAGTCCCAAGCGTAACGCACTCCGTTCTTCCGAACGTGTTTCTTTTTCCTTGCGCCGCTTATGAGGAAACATTCCCCCGGCAAGTTCGCAGGCACGGAAACCGGAAACTCTCTAAATATTGACCGACGTGGCTTTCGAGGCGTCAAGAAACAAGAAGGTGGAGACGTAGGGATCATCGCGGTAATAGAAACTCATCATTTTGCATAATCAATAAGGTGTGTTGACAAAAAGTCCTGTTGACCAACACGATCGAGATGTCGGATTGGAAATTGAGACCTTGCGTGTCGCGTGTCGCCACTCTTTCTCGATACTTTCGCGATTTTTCGGATAATCAGACACAATGCGTCAGAGTAAGAAAACGAAAATGTGTTAAAAGATTTAAAAAAGGATTGCATACGTAGTAAAAAATTGGAAAACTCATATTCCGATTACATCGCCTCGTAACTTTCGAATCTAGATATGGAAGTGCCTACCTGTATCCTGTAAGGGTACTCTCTGAAGTAATAGTCCTCGCGGTCGTAAAAGGCGATCGAGTAAGAGTCTTCCTTGGAAAGCTTGCGTCGATCCAGGCCCTCCTGAAGGGTCGTAAGTCCGTAGAGCGCGCCGAGAAGGTAGAACACGAAAACGATGATGATAAACGCTTTCACGGGGCGATAATTTAGCGCGGCCGCCAGGTAATCGCGGAACCAAGTCATGCATCCGTGCTCGGGATTGTCGATCGGATTGTGAGGGTCGTCGGGATCGATTCCGCCGGAGCACATCGCTCTGTACAGCCACGATCGATGAGCTGAAATACGTGACACGTCGTTTACGGTGACAATTCTGTTAAACGTAACGAAAGAGACGTGGCTTGTCGTCGTAATTCTTCGCTTCAGTTTCAAGTTACTTTATTGCACGATGTTATAATCGCCCGTGCTTAAATGATACGGAAGCAGGCATCAATCTTTTCTTTTTCGGCATTTCGCAGTCGTAACAATGTTTGGAAAAATAGAATATGGAGAAAGCACACTCTCTTTTCTTTACATAATACCGTATGATCTAACGAATTAGCGGTTTACGAACGTAACGTGTGTCTGTCCATTGACGTAACATCGATAAGTCACGTAGACGTAACGAGATTTCGAACGGTGGTATCCTGAATAACAACGAGCGACTTGTACGCGAGAGAAAACAACGATGTAATTCCTTATAAATTTACAAGGAATCAGCAATTCGTGGGTAATTAATCGAAGCTAGTACGCGGAAAAAGAATAATTTTGCTTTTACAGAAAAACCACGACTGCTATTCCATATTCAACTTAGAATTTCGCTGTTGTAACTAATTTCTCAAATTACTTAACGTTACAACAAAATGTACTTGGCACGACAGAAGTCATTTTGTTCTCGTCGCTAAATAACTTGCCAATTTAGTAAAATTCTTTTCAATAAAACTAGTATTCTTAACACGAATCGCATATTGCTGCCCATATAATATCTGACCAAACTTGTTACGATAGCATAAAATATGCTGCGCTAGCCAATTAATTTTTTCCGCGTATCATAAATTGTCGAGAATTACCATTGTACCGTAAATCGGTTTTATAAGAAGATCGAGAGACGAGATAAAAAAAATTACAATATTCCTACAACACAAAACAACTGTAAAACTTACTGGATTTAGATAGCGGTTCTACTTTGCAGCAGACAACGCTGTGTAAATTTCTTTGTTCGCAGTAACCGCTGATCGCGACGCATCCGCTGAAGAACGTTATGTGGAACAGGAAAGTGAAGACCACTGCGAAACCTGTCATTCGATGCATGTTTAATATTAATAATCGAAAAGTCCAGGTCCAATATGCATACTAGAAAGTCGCAGTGACTTTTCGAAAACTTTTTTCTTTTTTTTTATTACGTTCGTGTAATAAGAACGTGAGAGGTTTTGAATATTTTGCTTGTATATAATTTGATTTATTCGGACGTTTCGATACCTGAGTAAATGCAGAAAATTTGGACCGATGGGAACGGCGACAAGATGCCGATGAAGAAGGATATCATGTCCGTGAGTGACGTGATGGTGATGGAAACGGCAGCCTCGCTCAGTGTCGCCGCCATCCTTTCCGGTACTGGTTTGGAGATACTCGTTCTCCTCCAGGCCGCTAACATGACGAAAGTATCGTCGATTCCTATTCCTACAATCGAAACACACGATTTATACTTGATAATTGCACATTCTTGCACGGTGACGTAAAACCGTACGTACATGAGTTATGTTGAAAGAAAGAAATTCTAAATTTATTAATAGAGAAAGATTCTCTGTTATGAGACAAGTTCCTAATATGAGATAGCGGGGTCTCTGTTAAATTAACAAGCATCATCTATTGGCTTCGCCGTGAATTTATTGCTCTTGAAGTGAAATCTGTTTAGCAGAAAATTGATTGTGAGATCGTGTAATCGTTGCGAAAAAAGATTTGTGATTGAATTTGGACGTTGAAAACCTGTATTCTTATATTAGAATTCTATTTCATAATACAGAAGACTTCCCTCTAGTAGTTTCCTTCTCCTTTTCTTCACTTGCACAAATTTCTTTATCGCACGAATTCTTTTCCGTCATTGTCCAATTCCAAGAAAGTTCAAACTGTTTTTCATTTACACTCGGGATGGAAATTATCGTTGATCGTCGATAGGTTTTCCCAGAAAATGATATTGTTTGAAGCAATCGGTGCGTTTTCTAAGTGCGCTCAATTATTCTTTGAAAATTTATCACCGCCGTTTCTTCGGTCATTTGTCACGTCTGTCTTCAAGTGTCACGTGCAATCTCTCAGAGAGCGTGAATGGTAATAGGAAATGTGTTTTTCGCAATAAATCGAGACCGCGGGACATCTGCATCTCGCATTGGAATCTTCATTAAAACAATATGCAATTGTTCGCGAGTAATGAAAACGTTATTATATATGACGTTACTTCTCGCGGATATTGAATTTAATTCTATTTGAAACTGTTTACAATGAAATTACGAATATATTGTAATTTATTATTATTCATTGTTATTTTTAAATCTCAACGATCGACTGGCCTAGTAAAATTCTAAAATTTTATCACGGAGAGAGAAAAGTAAATCAATCTACTTTCGGAAAGTCAAGTCACAAATTCCGCTCTCTTTTGCTCGATTTAATTAGTGAAATTAAGTCGGATAACGCAAGGAACTGCCAATTCTTATTAGCACTACGTATTTTCGGATGAAATTCGACTGAATAACGGTCATTTTGCGAATTGCGATCGGTCGTTTGGCTCGAATGACGCTGTTATTATAGGTAAAGACTGACTTTGCTCGGCGTCGGACGCAGGCGAGCGCGACGTCGAAAGGGAAAAGGCGACTTCCGCTTTTCACATAAATCATAGTCCGTTTATTTCGCTCGTATGCACCAGACGGTGCGAGCTAACATGTTTATCGTCGAGAACACGTGTTTCTACAGACGCGGCAGGAGATTACGGCATCGCGTTGCAAAAAACAGGCGAAGCTCAGGTCGTTATTTTCGTTGCTCAACTTAAATATGTACAAAGTATCAATTTAAATACCGATTGTGACAAATCCCCGAGGGAATTGATAATGAAGGTTTACGTGGCAAACGATAGCGACGACGAGTGACTTACGTATATAAAGTATCTCAAGATTATTTAAAAATAATCCGGAATAATCTTATTTTGATCAAACAAAGACATTTCCTAATCAAAATGTCTTTTTCTTAACAATTGAAAAAAATTCTACACCAGATTTGTAAGATACATCACAATCGATGCCTCTGTATTAAAGTGCAAGACCTTGCGCATTCACGATACTTATTTTATATTGAAAGATGAGCTTGTAATTATTCTCGTAATATAGAGATATCGTAACAGCCTCGCAGCTCACCTATCATGAGGAACGGCGCGGCGAGATTGAGGCCGATAAAGTCGATCCCCAGGTAGATGCACAGTCCGAAAGCGGCGACCGTCGCCATGGCGGCCGAGATGTTCCCCAGGAGGCCGAGCCAAGGTTTGCTGCGCACCCAGTCGGTCATCATGCACGTCACGACCGAGAACAGGCCCATTATGATGAACGTGCTGGTGAAATACGGCACGACCGTCTTCGTGTTGGCCTCCAGCTCCAGCTCGAGGGTCCTCGAGGCGAATCTCGCGGTGCTGATGTGCTTAAACGCACCTCCGTCCTCGGCTTTGCCGACGGCATCCAGAAAAGCCTCCTCCCAAGCGGCGCCGCTGATTCGGCAAATCGAAAACAGATGAAATTATTACCGAGGAGTACTGAAGAATATACCGAGGCCTGTGCGAAACGTTAGATATCGTTAGAAAATTTCGACAGACGCGCAAGACGCGTAGACTTTATCGATGTTTCTTTCTTCCGTAAAGTTCAGTTTCCTGGATACGTGGGCAAAATAATTTGATTCACGATTAAAATACATCCGAAACAAATATGGCTCGAGCCATCGCTATATACTTTACCATCTTTCGCAGTAACAATGGGCAATGAATATAATATGGTCACGGATGAATCAGACACTTATTATTTGCACGGACGCCGCTGATAGCAATAGATGATTCAATTGGTGATGTCCGACCAGCGACCATGTGGCGAATTAATGATACGCTACTTCTACGAGCAAAGCGATTATTATTAACGTTGAAAAAGCTTCATTTGTAGCTCTTAAAAATATGCTTTGCAGCTCCACGCGATGTAACAAAGTAAAACGCACGGAATAAGATATACAAACTGAAATGAAGAAAAACAGAGCGCCGTTTATAAATTGCTTAAAATCCCCCCGGGTGCGTTTTACTTGATCGAGATAAAAATTCTTGGCACACAATGACACACCGAGACACTTGCCCAAAACCGAATTCTATGGAAAACTGCTGGTATTAACGCAAGTTTCGCAGATATTCGCGCGTGTAGAGCACATTTTTTGCAAAACTTCCGTGCACTTCCGTGTCGATAAACAACGGCCGACGTTACTCTACGTGTGTGATTGAAATAACTGGACCAATTCAATCAGCGAGTTTGCGAGCGGTAGACTTACATCGCATCCTGCCGTGGACTGTCGACGGTGATAAAGTAGGCAAGCTGCACCGAAGGCGCCGATTCTATAGTGAAATCGTCATTGAGGACGCTTCCGCCGAAGAAGACCGGAAACAGATGAGCGTCCCAGGTGACCGGGTTGAACATCACCGGAAACGTCAGGTTCAGCTCCCGCCTTTCCACATCCCTGAAACGGATTTCAGGCTCGATTTGAAACCTCGGGTCAATCAGTTGGTTTTCAAAGTGCACCGTGCCGCTACTACGCGCACCCGAGCACGGAATCGTTTGTTAATTTTCTCTTTTTCACTGAGCGTACTTGATTACGTGATGCAGGTTTAGGATGTCGTTGTTGAAACACTGGTTGAGCCATCGCGCACAGATCTGCTCGTAGGTGAACTCCTCGTCCTCGTACTTCGCCGTGACATTCCTGATTATCCAGTCGAGCTCCCGCAGCTCCTGCCAAATCTCGCTCTTCAGCATATTATGCCCGCCATCCTTGGGAATCACAATTACGTGACCGAATCGGCCTGCAACAAGCGACGGATCCGATCGATCACTAATCAGGAAATAAGGCGAACCATTCTTCCGGTAGTGTGGCAAAACACGATTCGCTTCTGCATTGCCTTCCTATGAGCGCGGCGAAGGTAAAAAGTAAGCAGGAGAGAGAGAGAGAGAGAAAAGTCCAATTATGAAAATACTTTATAATGGAAACCAGGTGGGTTGAAGCAAGTATATTGCAACATTGGTTAAACCTTATTTTAAAAAAATAACTTGAGATTCGCTTTTCAAGATTGGCGATGGAAGTTGTGATTGCTCTAACAATAAGTGTACAAAAAGAAGTGAACAGCAGTGTTGTGCACAGATGATTTTAAAATTAGCTAGATAAAGATAAGATAAAAAATATGAATTTATCTTAGATAAGATAAAGATGATTTCGTTTTGAATATATCTAGATAAAAGGTAAAATTATATGATGATTCATCTAGATAATTTTCAGATAACATTTTTAAAACTTCATGCAAACACAGTAGAGAAAGTTATAAAAAAATTATAGAAAAATTTAAATTATAAAGGGGGATATAGAATATATTCGGGTTAAGTTATATGACACACACATAAATGCATGGTCTACAACGCCATCCATATTTAAATAGTGTAACTGTTAAGTATTTTTATGTCGCCCTAAACCAAATTATCTGTACGTTATCGTAGATAATTTAGTAAAAATAACACTTTCTTTCACCTAAGATGCAGATATAGATAATACTTATTTTTATTATCTATATAAAGATAAGATAACGGTAAAATTTTATCTTGATAATCATCTATATAATTTCATTTAGATAACAGCAGACACTGGTGAACAGCGAGTATTAAAAGATTACGGGTATCGCACAGTTTCTCTGCAGAAGAATATCTTGTGCCAGGCGTCGGAGAGAGATATACATTATCTACGCCAACTTTCGATTGGAAGGATTACAGGCTCGTTGGATTCGCGGAATTCCTCGCGGGCGAAGAAATCGCCGGGACGGCAGGACGAATGATTGACGAGACTCTCACCTGGTCGTGTGATACGGCCGACATTGAATTGGTGGCTGTAATTGACTTTGAAGTACTGCTCGACTATCGCCCGCTCGTTCTTGCCGGGGCCGTTGACGGGCGAGAAGAGGTATTCCGGGTCGATTTCGTAGTGTATCCTCTGGTAGCCGGTGAAACATATGCACGCCAGCAGTATCGGCACGATTACGAAGTAGCCGGGGTGTCGACCGACAACGAGGCCAACCTTGTAAAACGCGCGATTCAAAAAGTCGTCGACGCACGTCAAGTGCCACATCTGAAAGCGAAAGTACACAATAAACAGGTTAATCATTATTCCATCTAACATGTACACGGAGTGCCGAGAGTATCGAGTTAATGAAAAGCAAATTGTAACATCGAGCATCTACGAAGGAACTCTCGAGGCTCAGGTTATGATTATTAGTTGGATTAAAAATCGGAAAGAAGATAATTGTTAACAGTAAAAGTGTTTACGGTCACTGAGTTGTGTACCGTTCGATCTTCGGGAATCTTCTTTCTCAAGAGTTCGCGAAACAACCCTGGTGGCGTAATACATTGGCGCAATATTGGGAAATAATGTAAATCCAGAGTTCCCAATATTGACCCAATATTGTAAGATCGACGCCTTCTCTTATTTAGCCAAAATGTCTATTTAGCAATATTGGTTTAATATTGTATCAATATTAGAGCAATATTCTTATTACATTGTTAAATATTGGCCGTGCACTTCCAATCTAAATCTAATATAATATAATTATTATCGTGCAATATTTACATTTACTGGCTTTACGTTGAACAATATCGGCCAATGCATTTCTAATATAACCATGCAGCATTGGTCCAATGTTTAGCCAATGCACTGTGCTACCAGGGAAAAGGACGTGTGTAAAAATCTACGTCGGTTTTCATCTCGTTGAAAGCGAGAACCGAACAAGCCATGGTCGCTTCCTGCAAACGATTCCCCGGACGATTCGCAATCAATAAATCGCTTATTGTATGGAAACTGTAGAAAGCACGCTTTATATGGGCGCAAGAAACGTTCCGAGCTGTCCAATTAGTGTTTTGCATTTACAACACATTGCGCGCATATACTGCGGTAAATGCAAAGTAAGTTGCTTGGGTGAATTGCCGTGTACAAGATTGAATCTCAGCTGTACGGTTCGTTGCACGCGCAACGCGAAAAATGCGTCGTAACGTGTTTCTTTTTGTCTCCTCCTCTCGTTGTTGTTACAGAAATTTATTGTTCGCTTAAAAGCGGCGAGCGCGCCCGATAATGATCGCGCTGTCCGCTTATTCAACGCACTTCGGAGCTAGAACGCGCGGACAAACTTGTCATCCACGTCACAAAAAGGTACGGTTTAACTTCTAACGGCACGTGGTTTTGCGGAAATGAGATTTCGCCGAAATAAGTCAATAAATTTGCGAAAGTGCAATCTGTCGGAGAGCCTTGTATCGAGTGACACAATTTAAGGACACGTGGTCGAAAATAGAAGGCATCAAGGACCGTCACATAGGGGGATTTCGCAGAGTTCTCTATCGTTACTTCCCTCCCGACATATTCAAGGGATTCTGGAATAGCAGAGGCTAAACTTATGCGCGGCCGGTCCCGAATTGAAATGCCAATTTCAGTCCCGGGTTACAAGCGATTGAGGCATTGGAGGATGCGTGCGAGGGAAGCATTTAGGATGATTGTCATTGAAATCATGTAGAAAAGTGTCGACAGACTTGACCCACATTGTTCAGAATTACGTGTTCGGCGTGCTTGACGAGATTGACTGCGCTTTATAGGAGCGGATCATTCACGAAATCAGCAATGCCGACATGCTTTGATCCCTTATTGCTCGGCTTGTAAACGTTTCTGTCTTCTCTCCCCCATCTCGTACTTCTCCTCTACGTCCTTTCAAACACGTGTTTGTTTCCGTTTGATACGATCGGACATTAACAATAAAAGTTGCAATATATCTCAATCGTCGTATATAAATAGAGAAACGAAAACTACGCGGTCTCAAGCTAATCTAACACAGATTTTCAATCTACCGGTCAAGTCTTAAACAAGTTTAGCCGATCAATGTCGCGGCGTAACCGATCCTTAATCGATTTTAGTTTAAACTCGTTGCTATTCATAACACCGTGTTCCATTAGTAATTCAATAAGGTCCCGGACTGGTCTCGTGTTCCTAGGTAATGACAAAATAGAAACGGTTTTAATGAAATTGCTCCGAGCTGTTCGCGAAATTGTATACAATCGAATTGAGACGGCCATAATAATATAAACACTCTTTTCCGCCGGCTGTGCTATCGTCGAGACATCCAAATTAATTCATAGAAAGGATTCGACTCTCCCTGGTTAATGAAGGAGTATGCTTGGATGGTTTTTAATCGAAAGCCCTTCGATCGAAACGAGAATCCCACATCTTTTGTTTCCGACACAAAGCCTCTTTTCACGGGACGATGATGCCCTCATAAGGGATTACATGACACGACCGAAGGAGAATGAATCACCTTCGTCAGATTTTCACGCACGTTCGCCTTCTCACCTTGAGTATCCGAGATGGTTTTTAATTCATTTCGCGCATAGAAAGATATGCTAACTCGCGGAGTTTAATCATTATTGTACGTCAATCGGCCGTGTGCGGGCTGAAAAAAAGATTAGGATATTTCTCGCGAAGGCGGACACTCGTCTCCAAGTGTCCAATTGTAACGTCAGATCCTGACGTGTCTAATACGTTGATCAAAGTGTCTCCTCTCGGATCGGCTATCGAAATCAATCAATGTCCATTAAAGCATGTAGCAGTGTATGTAAAGCATTTACTGCTTTTGTTTCTCCTAAGTTTTGAATGCCATATGTAACCATATTACTCTGAGGAAAAAAAAGTCAGTTACAACCCATTTTGGGGCCCACAATTAGTAATCGAATTATTTGGATTGTTTGTAACTTTAATCTTTTAAGAATTTTATACCGCGCGTAACTAAAAATCACAATTAGCTGTTCTATCTATATTCAAGATTTTCAAGTAATACTAATCGATTCTCTCAATTAGTTCTGTCGATATTCAGTAACGCAAACATCATTTTCACGTAAGTGGCACTAACCGAAATGTTAAGTTGCCTAACTACATAAAATAAACGGTCAAAATTTTTCCCAGAGTGGAGTTACGAACAATCCAAATCATTCGATTACTACACTGAGAAAAATTTTTATCGGATAAACCAATTAAACAGCGTTTCCGATGGTTAATTTTTCCGATTACGTTTTCCGATTAAATTACGAATACATCCGATGAAATTTATCCGATGAAATGCAGTTGCCGATGAAACTTGATTGAAAAACCGATCACATTTTTCATCGGATATACAATTTAATCGGATATATATATCCATTTGTTATTATGTAATTGGATTATCCGATTATATTTAATCGGACATTTTTCTCAGTGTAATGATGGGACCCAAAATGGGTTATAACTGTCTTTTTTTTCCCCCAGAGTACTAACCACTTGATAAGGACCACAATCCGGATGGTCGAAACGTATAGTAAATGTAAAATTTCCCGAATAAACTTTCTGCCAGTTGGATCGACTAAACGTTCCAGATAGAAAGCATACGCGACTAAAATCCCGAACTCGTCGAATTCAAAGGAATCAGGAGGTCGAGGCTCTTTCGCAAAATTGTCGCCTCGAGATGTCGCAGGCCTCTTCGTAAATTTCCGCGTAAATCGATCCCCGGCGAAATAAGGAGCACCGTAAATCTCGCCGGGAGATCTCGGTACCGGTCTGGACCGTGGTCTCGCGACACGAAACGACATTGGCCGCGGGTACAGATTCGCTTGCGCAGGGGAGCGACTTTCTAAAACCGCTCGATCCCGACTGTGGATTTTCCGTTGCATACATCAGCCGAGGGGAACTATGGGGGGGAGAAAAAAAAAGGGAATCGCAGAAGTTCAGAGGCCAGTGCCACCGGTGCACAGGTGTTTCGCGCGGAGAAAGTCACGTCGAGGCTACCATTGGGTAATCCCGACCTGCCGCACACACTGTCGTTGCTGCTTGTTTAGACGCGATTAAATAACATCGCGTAACAATTGCTTCTGCCGTCTCAGGTGGGTTCGCGGGTTGGCGACGGCGCTGACCCCGCGCAAGGTAGGAAAAGGACCCTCCGATGTATTCACGCGTTCAACGTCGATCTTCTCGATGACGAAAGAAG